GCAGAGCTCTGTGAATCCAGATTCCCAATTCTTAACCATGACACTACAGTTTGTAGGAATCTGGGTGTTAGCCCTGCCAAAATACATTTTTATCTAAAAACCTGAAATATATTTCACCTGGTGCCAACTTACATGCTGTTTTCCAAAAAATTTCAGAAGTCTCTATGGCAATGTCATAACTCCAAGTAGCTTTAGTAGTGTAAGGCAGGGTATTTATTAAGAGGATAAATGTTATACCTGTCTCCCCCTGCTGGTTTAACAGAGAAATGTCCTTGAAGTCAGCAAAATAAGGAGGTATTACCTTAAGGCAGCAATTTTCAACCCGTGTACTGCAAGATTTTTAAAACATGCAATACCTAATTATTTAGTCAGGGGCACTGACCTCTTTTCCCTTAGATTGTCAAGTTAAAAAATGACAACAGCCAACACAACACTAGCCCTCTTGGTGTGAATGCCCTGTCTTGAACCATAAATATATAGGTCGTATAATAGAGTTGCGTCTTATTGGTCACCTCACATAATAAGGTTGTGTCTGACTGCTCAACTCTTGGTACCAGAAATCCTTACATACAAGTATAGGCACTTGATTTTTTTAAGTCACTTTGGAGCAAAAAGGGTAGGTAATTATGACTATTATGATTTTTTTTTGTAAATCAATCTAAAATACACCTACTTTTTGTCAGAGCAGCAAAAAATATTTTTCTGTGTGTGCCACAGAATTTCAGTAATTAATTTATGTGTGCCATGAGATGAAAACGGTTGAAAATTGCTGCTGTAAGGCGATGGTGCTGAAAGTGTGGTCCCAGACCAGCAGCATCGACATATGCACACTTGTCAGAAATGTGCATTATTGGGTCCTATCCCCAAACTTAGTTACTCTGTGGGTGGGGCACCAGCCACCTAAATTTTAACAAACTCTCCAGAGTGGGGAACTATAGGAAAGAGGAGGGGTGTGGCCAGGGATTCACAGTCACTGTTACTGTCACACTTGTGCAGATCCTTGGGATTATTTTGGTGCCTTCTTCTTGTCCATTACCACATCCAATTCTTCCCCCTTTCCTATGTTTTCTGAAGTTGGTACTGACACAGACTACCTCAGCACCTCCTGGACTATTGTAAAAACTTTTTCTTTTTTGAGCGCTTACTGGGAGTCACCAGATTGACCATCTAAATTCATCCTGCATGTCACGTTCAGTGTTTTTCCACTGCTCATGGTTTAGTCAGAGGTAAATTACTAGTTTCACCTTATTACGCAAGAGAGGAGTGAACAGTAGATTGTGATATTACTATTATCCTTTAAAATTTGAATTACTTCTATATGCCTGAGATATTTTATATATTTATTTATGCAAATTACTTTATTGATCAATTTCACTAAATTGCAACAGATTTTAAATTACTTTTCATTTGCTTTTTTTAAAAAATTGAGATATAGCCCTGGCTGGTGTGGCTCAGTGAATTGGGTGCTGACCTATGAACTGAAAGGTCACTGGTTTGATTCCTGGTCAAGAAGGCACATACCTGGGTTGTGGACCAGGTTGCTGGTGGGGGGCGTGTGAGAGGCAACTGATTGACATATCTCACACATGGATGTTTCTCTCCCTCTCTCTCCCTCCCTCCCTTCCCCTCTCTCTAAAAGTAAATAAATAAAATCTTCTTAAAAAATTGAGATATACTTAGTAATACTTCTCTTTTTAAAAGCCTACTTGGGATTTCCTTATATTCATTTGGGTCTTTACTTTTCCTCCCCAGTTGGTAAGTGGTCCTAAATAGGGGACTTACTCTCAGTTAACACAGTAGCAGCAATCATTAATTCTATATTATGAAAAAGTAAATATAATAAAAACTACAGTATAAAACAGCATTCTTAGAACCTTTCAATCCATGAGAGTAAGCAAATATTAAAAGGTTTTTTTAAACTTTTAAAAAATTTTTATGTATTCATTTTTTAGAAAGGGGGGAAGGGAGAGAGAAAGAGAGGGAAACATTGATGTGAGAAAAACATCGATGTGAGAGAGAAACATCAACCGGTTCCCTCTTGTCCACGCCCCGTCCAGTCCAGTACAGTCCAGGGATGGAACCCATAACCCAAGCATATGCCCTAACTGGGAACAGATCTGGAGACCTTTCACTTTGCAGGATAATGCCCAAACAACTGAGCCACACCAGTCAGGGCTAGATTGTTTTATTATTGTGTACATTCATAGACACTCAGGTTCCAAGAATAACTTCACCAGTAGAAATAATTACTCATCTTATCAAAAGTCAGTCAGATTAATCCTCTGTACTGCCACTACAATGCTCAATTCACTCAAATGTATTTGTGGTACTTGTAGCCAGAACTCTTTGGAAAGTATTGCAAAGACTGACTAGTTGTTCATCAAATCTTTTCTCTTTCCCATGGAGCTTACTGATAGGCCCTTTTTCCCAGCCTCCTTTAAAGTTAAGTAGAAGTATGTTAATGAGTTCTGGCCAATGGAATGTAGGTGGAAAGGTTGGCTATAAAATCCTGCCATATAATCCTCCATTCTTGCCCCTCATCTGTTGGCCAGATGCAGAGGATCCAATGGAGAGGACCATAAGGAGGCCCTAGGGATGGCAAAGCCACTAGATGAAGGAGCCTGGGTTTCTGAATCACCACTGGGCAAACATCACCAGCCATCTGACCAGAAGCACCCAAATGGCATTGTAGACAGATAATACATACTCATTTATTGTGTTAAACCACTAATTTTTTTTTTAAAATAGCAGTTAGCCTCCCTTGACAAATATCAAGTACACATGTTTCTCATGCTTCCTTTCTCTGCCTCTCCACAACAGAATTTACCAGGGAATTAGTTGTGAGACTCCTTCAGGGACCCTGCAAAAAGATATTAAACCTCCAGGGGGAACTTGCCAACTGCTAAATCTAAGTTATTTTCATTAGCTGCCCTTCCTTGCTGATATAATCCACTGAACTTTGGAGGCTTGTTAATACTTTGAAGTCCAACACTGAGAGCTTAAAGAATCACCCCTTGCTACTTTCACAGGGTCATGATCAAGACAACTTGTTACTTCACATCCCAGGTGGCTTCCAGGTAAATGGCAAATACACAGGTTTCTATTTCTCCTGAGGTGCCTAACTGCTAACAGAGTTATGATGCTGCTGTGATCTGACAGAATGAAGTGGTTATAAAGATTTTGGAATTATATTACCATACTATTTATCCGTAATAATTTAATATTCAAAAAATTAAGTAATTTTGTTGTCTTTTCTTCCCCACTGACTCTATATTGTGAAACGTCTGAGTCTTAGCCTTTTTGTATGCTACGGACCCTCTGTAATGCTGGTGAATCTAATGGACCCCTTATTACAACCATGTTTAAAAAGGAATAAAATACATAGGATTTTTAAAAACTAAATTAAAGTTTTAAAAATATTTTTAAAAATGTTATAGTAAGGTGTCTCTTGACACATTGGATAACAAGATCTAGTAGTGGGTCAAGTTACTGCAATTTTGAAGTAAAGTGGAAATGGCATTTTTGAGATAAGTAACAATTATTGTGAAATGAAAATATCTGGGATTTCTATCACTGCCAAATACCACAAGTATTGTTAATACTAATTGGTTTGTTGCCTATGTTCATAACCAAAAGAAATGTTGAATTTTAATTGTAAGTTAATGAAACTAAAGATGAAACTCCTCTCTTCACTCACAAAGCCCAGCTTAAGGACTCTAGGACTAGAGGTTCCTCCAAAACATGGACAGTGGTTATTTCTGAATGGTGAAAATAACGGGTAGTTTAAATTTGTCTTCTTCTCTGTATTTTTCAAAATTTCCCCAATAACCAAACATAACTTTTATAATCATAAAATAATCACATGATATTTCTAAAATGAGAGCGGTGTCTTGCTTGGTAAGGTTCAGGATACACAAATTGGAAAAATAAAGCAACACTTGAAGAAGAAAATCTTTTAGAAAAAAAAAACAAAAGCTCAGATGAAGACGGATAACTTTAACCTCACTTTCATCAGACACTTAGAGCTGGTGAGACCGTTATGCGATTTATCTTTATACACAAAGGAATCAATTCTTTAATGCATGATGCTGACTCGGGCCTGAAGCACCATAACTCTTTAACAGGCCACATTGCCATTCTTGGGCCGTATCCTAAGGAGAAAGAGGGAACCCACAGGCCGCAATTACTCATGAGTTTATTAATTTTATTATCCATTACCTTCTGCGTCTTCCACTCCTGCCTACCTCCTAGCCAGGACTTGTCTGCCTACTCAATGCTCCACTCAGTGGTTTCGGAGAGAAAACTCCCAGAGTGAAATCCAAACTCCGTTCCAGGCCCTACGAGCCCTCCTGGATCTGACCCTTGCCTGCCTACCTCCCCAACTTCCAACTGTGTTCCCCACGTGTCAGCTTCTCTGATCTTTGATTCCTCCGATAAGGCAACCTCCAGCCCCAGAGGCTTTGCTTTTCCTGATCTTCCTTCCGGACAGTTTCCTCCTCCAGTGCTTCTGAAGAGCAGTGGCTTCTCATCCTTGCAACTCCAGTGGCCTTCCTCAGCCTTTCCTGACTGCACTGTTTTAAGTTCCCAAGCCATCCCTGTCGGCCATAGTATTGACAACAGCACTCTTTGAATTTATGTCCATATTGTCTCTCTTACCAGGAAGGAAGGTACTTGAAGGCAGGGACCTTCTCAATATTGTTCACTGCTGTATCCTCAGCACCTAAAACTACCTGAATGAAGAGATGAGAATAAATGAATACCTGTGGCCCGTCTCCTTGGGGTGTACTCTGGATTACAAATAAAAATCAGTTTATCAAGAAAAAGCACGTTAAAGCGGTTTTAAGCTGTCCGTTGGGTTGCTGGCTCCCTAGCTGAGGCTTTGGAGTAGACAGTCCTAGCACCTCAGACGAGACAGCGAATAAAACTTAAACCGCAGGACCGCGCCGAAGCTCTCGGCGCGGAACTGAGGCTGCGCGGAGCGTGGGGCGGGGCGGGGCCAACCCCGCTCTCCGGAAGTGGTCCCAGAGCCGGCGAGAGGACGCGGGCTGACAGCCGGGTGGGCGGCAGGAGCGGCGGCGCTGCTGAGTGGGTTCCCTCGGCCATGGAGGACGAGCTGAGCTTCTCGGACATTTACGGCGGCCGCCTGGCCCTGCAGCGCCGCTACTACTCCCCATCCTGTCGGGAGTTCTGCCTCAGCTGCCCTCGGCTCTCCTTGCGCTCGCTCACCTCTGTCACCTGCACCGTGTGGCTTGCGGCCTACGGACTCTTCACCCTTTGCGAGGTAATAGCTCCTTGCCCATTTCCATGGTCGGTGTCCGGGACTCAATTTTGGAAGGGTCTTTGGGGTCTTGGGATAGAGCCCAGACCTAAGGCCGCAGGGCAGGAACTCGCTGTCTCTAGGTGCGCCGTCCCGCTGCTGGACAGCATTTTAAATTACATTTAGTGAAGTTTGAGCTCCTGTATTTTAACCCTCACAGGGGTCGCTGTGTGGTTCCACCCAACATGCATCCAGTTCTTGCACGCAGCCTAAAACTTTAACTTGCATGTGCTTTATGTAGTGCATGCTCATAGTAACTCAGTTCCAAGGGTTCAGAGAACTACGTGGGTCATCCTCACGAATCACTGCTAACAGTGCCTTATATATAGTCTTCCAGAAACTGTCATTGTCTCCACTGTGTGTGTTTGTGTAGCGTCTGTATATACACACACAAGTTACGTATTTAAGAGCTTGATATTGATAGTTCTTCCCAATCTCTATTTTTCAAGGCAGCCTAATCCTCCCTCCTCCCAATCACTTCCCCAACTTCTAGTGCTTTTAAGAAACTATGAAATTATGGAGTGGGTAGTTTCTGTGCTCAATTTCCAGGCTCATTCCTATTCTCTGAGCCTCAGTTTTCACATCTCTGAAATGGAATTAATATCTGCCATGCCAGCTCCAAGTATCGTGAGGGTCACATGCAGTAGTTTCGTGACAGCCCTCGAAGAAAAGGGATCATCCTATTGCCCTTTTCAGTTTCATATGTAGTGCCCTGAACCGAATATGTTATTCCAGGAGGGATCTGATCAAAGCTAAGTACAGCAGGGCTGTTTATTTTTATATTTGGGATATCGTGTCCATAACTGCACCCTTTACTGCATCCATTAGCTTTTTCGCCATCACAGTGTATTTCAGAGTATGGCAGTTTAGCACAGATATATGCATAATTAAGACTGCCCTAATTTGTACCAAACTGTATCTAAAAGTTTGTTCATAAGTCATTTGAAATGTTAAGTTGCCAGGACTGCCCGAACCCTCCGCAAAAGATTTCATTTAAAATATATTTGAATTTTAACACTAGCCTGGGTTCTGGCCATGCGGTCATGTGAGGAGGAGGAGACAGTACTCATTAAATGCCCACTGAGTGCCAGTTACTTTACTGAATGCCTTATTGTAGCCTTAGAAGAAAGCCAAGGCTCAGAAAGACTGATAACATCCAAGTCCCAAAGCTAGTAAATGGCATAATTCAGCTTCAAACCCAAGGCTGTCTGATCTGACGTTGAAACCCTTTCTTTTCCACTAAACTATGATGTCTCCTTCCTGGGGAGGGCTTGCTTGGACAAAATTTTTAAAGAGAAGTGTGTTTCTTATGCCAGCTCCCGTTTGTATTCATCTCTCTCATCATGGTACCACCTAGCCACCTCAAGTGCCTGGGACTCGGTAACCTCCTCTTCCTTTAAACTCCATGGCAGCACTTCTTACGGGCTCTGTGTACCAAAATTTCTTATCTTTCCTCCTATTCACAACTATTTGTCAGAGTCATGTATCTCAGCTAGGAATGAGAAGAAATCCGATGAAGGAATTCATTAAAACATGTCTGATTTCAACCTAAATAAATATTGAATTGTTAGAAAAATGAAGCATTAAAAATGTAGGTAGGAATAAAGTTTGGGCAGGGATTACCTTCCTAAAAAGCTGATATGGATCAAATTTCCTAAGCATTTATTGCTCTTCAGCCCTTCTTCCAGTTTTTGAATTCACAGTTGAATTAAATTTCCAGGTTTTTACCTTATTTATTCCAACCTAGAATGTCATTCTTTCCTCTCGCTTTTCTCAACTAAGTATATGTGTCTATAACCACCACCTCCTCTGCACCAATTTCATCTTGCTTTCTTGGAAGTCTTCATGGGACATTCCTGTGTGCTTTAATTTGCCGCTGCCCCCAACCCCCTTAATGCTTTCTTAGGCATTTATAGTCAGTATCATAGTATTTTCTAAAAATATTTATATATGAATTGATCTTGTCTCTAATAAATCTTTAAGGGCCAGGACTGAATTTTATTTCTCTCTGTTCTTCCATACTGCTTATTCAGTGCAAACTATGTACAAGACACTGCACTAGATACAAGGGCATTTAATTACCTCAAAGTAGATGTTTCTGTAACATCAGACACTCAGTATATAGATTTCTCCATTTTCCATTCATTAATCAAAAAATAGTTATCTAGCACAGAGGTCAGCAAACTTTTTCTTTACAAGGCCAAATTGTAAATATTTTAGGCTTAACAGGTCTCTGTCTCATATTCTGTTTTTTTTTTCTTTTTTTTTTAACCACCCTTTTAAATATGTAAAAATTATTCTTCGCTCAAGGTGGACCAGACAAAAATAAATCACAGGCCCAAACAGTTTGAGACCCCTGATCTAACATTTAGTATATGCTAGGTAGAAGAAAGTAGAAAGGTATTTTCTTTTTTTTTTTTTTTAAGATTTTATTTATTTTTAGAGGTGGAAGGGAGGGAGAGAGAGAGAGAGAGAGAGAGAGAGAGAGAAACAACAATGTGCAGTTGCTGGGGGTCATGGCCTGCAACCCAGGCATGTACCCTGACTGGGGATCGAAACTGCGACACTTTGGTTCGCAGCCCGCGCTCAATCCACTGAGCTACGCCAGCCAGGGCTGAAAGTAGAAAGGTATTTTCAAAGAAAATCAGAGCCGGTCAGTAGTTAAAGTGGTAAAAAAATAGATTTTGTTCAGAAACTATTAAAGTAGGAGAAGAGACCTTAGTATAGAACGGGGCTCAATTCTGAATACAGCGTAGACAAGTGAGAATTTGTAGCCAAGGAGCAGGGTGATGGTCAGTGGGTGGGAAATTATTACAAGGAAACCTCAGGGGTAAAGGGGGATTCTGGCTAAACTGATTTGACAGAATTCTTGCTGAAGACAGGCCAGGGTGATCAGACACTAAGGGTGGGGATTCCCTTAAACTGATTTAGTGAAATTCTTGCTACACGAAGGGCAGCAACTTAGAAGAGATTGACTAGAGTTAGGTCAAGGAGGGCATCTTGTCAGGAACAATAATAGGACACTTCCTGCCCTCAAGGAATGAGCCATAAATTACTGAATCTCTTTTGATTCTAGGTCACTGATTCTCTTCTTGTGCCATCCTTCTATATAATAGCTTTATGGAAAAAAGAAAACAATACCACATGAAAGAAACACACATCAATAGAAAAACACGTTTCAATCAGAAATGATAAAAGGTAGTAAATGGGACTTAGAATCAAAGGAATAAATACTATTTAGAGTCCTATAATGTAACAAAACAAGAAGTCAGGAGGTAGGAGGCCTCTAGGGGGCATAAAAGGCTCAGTAGGTTGTTTTTTTTTAATCTTGGTGTACCCCATCTCAGCCTAACTTTCCATGTGGTCTGATAGAATCCATAGAAATAGTTCAGACATCAAAACCTCACGGTAAAGGGACCTTATCTTCCCTAGATCTCTTTTTAAGATGGACTTAGTTTTCCAGAAGCCTCTGCCACAGAGCTCCCCTCATTGGCTAGAGTTGTGTCATGTGTCCATTTCCAAACCAATCAATTGGTTCCAAGGAGTAGGAACCAATCACAATTCACTCCAAGTTCTATTAGGAAAGAGAGTGGTTATTGAGTCGCATCTATTACACTGTGCTAAGCATTTTATTATTGTCTGGTCTGTGATTTTGCACTGTTTCTGAGGGAGCACGAGCAGAAATGGTCTGAGTCCTTAAGTTGCGGTTTTGGAAGAAAAATCTGAGTGGTGGGATGGTGGATATCTTGCTGATGGAGGTTCCCTTCCACAGACCTACCCATTTGTTGTCTGGATGTTTTAAATCATCATATGCTTTCATAGCTGTACAGAACACAAGGGTGTTCTCCTCCTCTGTCCAACCCACAGCAGAACAGAGGTTTTTTCAGCATTGCCTGGAGTTGACTTATTGAACAGCAGGATATGCAGAAGACCACCTAGTAATTTTACTGCCTGTGTCTGGCTCTCTCTTCAGAACAGCATGATCCTCTCTGCTGCCATCTTCATCACCCTCTTAGGCCTGCTTGGTTACCTGCATTTTGTGAAGATTGATCAGGAGACTCTGTTAATCATTGATTCCCTTGGCATCCAGCTGACTTCATCCTATGCCTCTGGCAAAGAAAGCACCACCTTCATTGAGATGGGCAAGGTGAAGGATGTTATCATTAATGAGGCGATTTATATGGTAAGTTTCTAAGTGGTCCTGCAGGACTTTCTGGAGGAGCTAATCCCCTGGGGTGTGCCTGGATCTGAACTGTTTTAATACATAAAGTATTAGATGTCAAAAAGTTAAATTTGAGGACTCTCTGTTCCAGTATTTGACGTGTTTCTTTCTGGGCTGGCTGTCTAAAAACCATAAAAGTGAAACTTGTATTGGAAAAAGACACGTCCCTTTATTTTTAAAGCAACACAACAGGTTTTCATGGATAGGACGTCAGCATTTACTTTATTTTCTGGCGCAGCTTCAGAATCATCTCAGGTTGTTGTTGTTGCTGTTGTTTCATCTTTTTTCATTTCAAGCTCAAGAATATACTTCTCCCTCACTTCAAAATCTATCAAGTGTTCTCCTACTTAGAGATAACCATTTATGAAAAAGTTTTAGCTGCCCCTTGATGAAAAAGAAGACAGAGTGAGTTTTACTTAGATCACTGCTATTTGGTTTATTTTCTTACAGCAGAAGGTGATTTACTACCTCTGCATTTTATTGAACGATCCGGCAGACCCACATGGGATATCACAAGTAGTACCTGTCTTCCAGGTGAGCACTTTGCTTAACTTTCTTCTCTGCAGAAATCCTCTACCTTTCCCCCACTCTCTGCATACCCACTGCTACTGATGTAGCAGCATAAACTTTTCTTGTCACAGTATTTGAAGATACCTGACAGCTATTTATAGTCAGAGTTAGGATCCCAGAAGCTTCTGAGGCAAATACACTTTCAGAAATACCATGAATGCAAATAATTTTAGAGAAAAAAACAAATAGGTAGCAACTTCTGCCTATAAATCACCATTCCTCTCCAATGCTTTGTCAATCCTACAGTATGATTTTACACAGATGTTACTGATCTACACATACTGTTCACTGTTTTGTGTCTTCCTTTTAAAGTCTAACATGCACATTTTCATGCATCTACAAAGGCCATTTTACTTATTATTATAAATAAGTATATCATCACGTTGAATATCAGTTTATTCAGCCATTCTATTCCTAACTTTTGAAATTACATCCAGGTTATTTTTTTGCCTTGCTTTTATTAAAACACACATGCAATAAATTACTTTATAGGTGTATAATTTATGTATGCAGTTATCTCTGCCTCACTGCTCTGTTTCAGAGGATTTAAAGCAGCTAAAATTCTTTTGCATTATAATTCAAAACTTTTATTAAAGCACATGAATAGTTTCATAGATTTCTACAGTGTTTGAGATTTGGCTCCAGACAGGGGACGACTCTACCGTACTCTGGGGAATCTGCTTGTTTTCCTACAGTCCTGGCAAACAGCGGGCTTATTTTTTAGTTTATTGTGCAAGTAAAGGAATTTAAATTTTTAAAATTTGTATCTTTAAATGACACAGACTTTTCATATGTCCTTGTATTTATCTATTAGTATCTCCTCTCTTTTTAAAGTATCCATTTCTCCTCTATTAATCAAGTAGAATTTAGATATTGATTATGCATTTGTAATAATTTATATGTTTTGGTAGCAAACTTTTATTAAATATGATTTCTACATATCTTTTTCCCATTCTGTGACTTTTAATTTTGGTGGTATTACATTTCATTATACAAAATATTTTTCAATATCAAACTGCCCTTCTTGTCTCTGAGGACTGTCTCACCGCTGTGACACTTCCCTGGAGGGCCTCTCTTTGGTGTTCCTCATGCTTGCTCTTAGATGGAGATCATGGAATTTGCACAGATTAAAAACGGTCTTTCGAGATCCTGCTTCACACAGTTCTCAGGCTGGGCCATGGGCCTAGTTAGGGACTCTGCCAGCAGGCCGCTGTGGGCCTGGACTTCCGCCTTTCTGAGCTCCCCCCGTGCCACACTGACCCCCTGGTGGGGGTGAGATTGAGGCTGCACATGGGTGCAGCACTGCTAAGCACTCTCTTACGTCCATCTTGACTGTGCATTTCTCCCCTTTGGAATTCAGAGTGCGAAGCCCCGGCTGGACTGCTTGATTGAAGTGTACAGGAGCTGCCAGGAGATCCTGGCACACCAGAAAGCTGCACCCACAAGCCCATGAGTCCCAGCATTCAGAAGGCCAGGACTGTCTTCCACGGGAAATGACTGCTCAGCCCTAGGGACCGGTGCATTTTCTGTATCCTAACCGTCATGTGGACACAATCCTAGGAACCAGGACGCACACGGTGGATCTCAGAGCGGGTGACTGGAAACCCAGCTCACCGTGCGGTGTTGAGCAGAACATTTGTGTATTCAGTGTTCCCCTTGTAAGGTATTGCCTGCTTCCCCAACTGAGGGGAGACCCTAAAAAATGGTATGTCAAAGATAATGTCGACAAAAAGCACTTTGTGAAATTCCTAAGCACATTCAAGTTTACTTTTTGTTGAAACTTGTGGAGCAAGACAATGGGAAAATGGTATCAGATCTACTGAGGAAGACCATTTCCAACGGTATAGTCAAGTCAAGTCCTTCAGGTACTGGGTGAGCAGGAAGAAATGTCCTACCAAAGACAAGTCTCAGTCCACCTAGCTCCTGTGTCTGTGCAGGGCCAGTTTATGGTGACTCTCTTAATAAACAGATCTCCTTCGCAAACACACACAATCGCCTGGTTCACAGATGGCTGCGTTTTATTGATAAACACGGACGTGGCATTCCAGTCATGGCGTCAAGCACACTGAAGCTCTTCGTTACTCAGCATTGTGTATGGTTTCAAAAGCTCCTTTTGCCAAGAGAGATGAGACAAAAAGGCCAGACAGAAATTCGACTTTGGTTTCCAGGCATGTTAAAGAAGGACAAACATGCAAACTACAGAAGCCTTTGCTTATAAGGCAGTTTCTTCTGAGGGAGAATTCATAAACTAAGGGAGAGTTCCTGGAGGGTTGGGCAGGAGATAAGAGTGGGGGAAGTAGCTTGACCTCCAAATTCAGTATGAACACAGCTCCATTCTTGCTTATTTTTTCTTCAGGATCCCAATATTTTAAAAACTCTCAGGCAGACAATATCCTCATGGGCCTTAGAGACATTCAGGGTACTACAAAACCAGAGTCGTCATTTCTGCCTTGCACACGGTGCTGGAGGGGTTCTTCAGATGCCTGTGGTACATGAGACCTGTGGGCCTGTTTGAGGTAGAAGTGCTCCCACTAGATCCCAAACGCTGGGGGAAAGGCAGGCACAGAAATGGGAGACAGCTATAAAACTGCCAGCCTTGCAAAGTCAAGTCCATGTAAAAGGCAGACACTCTGACATGCTGCTTTGTTATTGTGCCTGTCAGTGTAAAGGATGAGGGGAAGCGTACTGCAGCTGATGTGCTCACATAGACTAGTTCCAGAACTGGTGTGTAGTTCTGCGTCGTACAACATACACACACACACACGTTACTTTGTTGAGATTAAAGGCTTGATTCTTGGATACAACTGCTAAAACTACAGGGTTTCCAGCACTTTATTGACAAACAGACCGCCTGAGAGCTGTGAAATAAAACTCAGTTTCTCCAGTGTTGGCAAGTCAAGAGTACCAGTGGACTCTTTTGTCCTTTTTCCCGTCAGGGGCGGGTGGAAACAAAGATCATCTCCTCTGTACGCAACAGAAGGTCTCGGTTGGAGGTGTGGGGATACTGGTATTGTTAGGAAGGCAAAAGGTGAAGGAAACCTTCAGTTTCGTTCACCTGATGCTGTTAGGCTAGGACAGATGTCAGGTGTCCTCTGCCCTCAAACCAATTCCCGGCGGAAGTTCGCCGGAAGTCATGAGCGAATCCAGGCCTGTGAGCCTGGAAAGGTCTTCTGTTTCTGACTTGTCTTTGGTGGCTCACGGAGCAGCAAACAGCAGAGTGCATTTGCTCGGTCTTTCGAGGAGCAGGGAAACAAGTGGTGACCACCTCGTCCTACAGTAGTGAAGTGAGCACAGCCTTCACTGAGCCCTGTCCAGTAGTTAAAGTGAGACACGGAGAGGTCAGGTGAGACCTGCCCCCTGTCTGTGCTTGTGCCCAGGTGGGCTGACAGTCCAGTGTGAGAGAGAGCAGCTTCAGTCCCAGCAGGGAGAGAGAGAGCTCCTCATGCTGCAGAGGCAGGAGCTGTGGCCCAGAAGGAGCACCGCAAAACGCCTGCTCATTTGCAGTGTGGGGAGGGGAAAGATGACTCTCTTCCTTTCCTTTCCAAATGGGAAAGGAAGTCCAGTTTTAGTGACTTCTAGGCTTTGGTCAGAGTTCAGGTGAATTGGGGATTTGAGTCCTATTCAGGGATGTTGGGAAAACTTCAAGTATAAATCCCACATAAGGACCGTGTACAATATAAAGAATACCAGCCTCCCAGGGGTGTCAGTGGGGAAAGCTGGACTGACAGCACTGATGCCCTTGGCAACCAGTAACACCCCTGCCTGTGTCTAGAAGCAGACAGCATCTAGAGCTCAGTATTCTCATGGGGGGGGGGAAGTGGTTTTTATACTGGGTCTGGATTTTTAAAAGTTGGGCCCTGACACATTATAAGGCACCTAGAGAGAAAGGCTTCATGGACACTGAAATACACATTTCACAGAACAAACCAGGGTGGGGGCAAGGGGAGGGCCGTTAGCCCTGTCACAGTAGTATCATGCCCCAGGACACATATCTCCAACCCCAGAGGTACCAGGTGGCGGTAGGGAAAGGGGTCGGAGAAACATTCACAGCAACGTTGGCCTCTTGGAAGCACGTGGAATAGAGGCAGAGAACTGCTGTCCACCCAGTTGCCATGGCTGGTGGGTAGCAGGTGGGTAGTTGGGTGGGTTCACAGTTACGGGACAGTGGTTCATGTAGCTGGCCATGATGAAAGTAGCCTCTGCAATCTAAGGAGACAACAGAGAAACAAAAGAATTGAACTAGCTTTGGCTTGGATGCTGGCTTTCTCACCAGAAGTTAAACAGGATACATAACCTTCCTGGGCTTCCCCCGGGGGGCAAATGTCCAAAGGGGATCATTACTGTGAGGTCCCGGGGCCCAAGGAAACAGGTGCCTGCAGTTCTGGAGGTCCTCTGAGACGCACAGGCACAGCACCCCCCTGAGGACAGGAGGGGCAGTGTTCTGCTCAGCGAGCTCCACACTAGGGGCGGGGCCTCCCTGGAAGACAGGGTCTGCACAGCCTCCCCTTTGGCAGGGATGGTACTGAAAGAAGGAGGAGATTTGGCCAACTCCAATTTTAGGATCACAACCAGAGGGGTTCCAAGTACTCTCGGAAGGGAGTCAGGAACTATAAATCAGGACTGAAGATTCCTGAGTCTCTGCAATTCTTATTTTTGCTAGCCACCATTTCCTGTAGTAGGTGGGAATGATGCCCTCAGGGCAAAAGAGGTCTGCATGGAATTCATGCCTGAAGGAAAGGGGCACATGTGCAGACCACCCCCCTTTGTGACTAGTTTGGGACAGGATAGTGAGAACTTTTTTTTTCTTTTCTATTTTTTCTATTTTTCCTTTTCCTTTAAAAAAAAGTTACGAAGGTGTCACTGTCACCGCTGCAATAAAACTGCTGTGATGAGGCCCTGGCTGGACTAGCTCAGTGGATTGAGCTCGGGCTGCGAACCAAAGTGCCACAGGTTCGATTCCCAGTCAGGGTACATGCTTGGGTTGCAGGTCATGACCCCCAGCAACTGCACATTGATGTTTCTTTCACTCTCTCTTTCTCCCTCCCTTCCCTCTCTAAAAAATAAATAAAATCTAAAAAAAAAACAAACCCAAAAACAAAAAACTGCTGTGATGGAAGTACAACCTGTGTCTCAGTGTAGCCCCATTAACGATGGGGCTCGGCTGTCATACAGAATGAGGCTTAAGGTGAGAACATCTTGAGGAGGCAGCTGCCCCGGCCCTGGGCCTGCTGCAAGGAGAACAGCAAGCCCGACTCAGGCCTGCACATCACTGAGGCTTGAGAGAAATAGGAAAGATGATGTGAGGAGCACAGGAGTTCCCTCCCCGGCCAGCCCCTCCCCTGCCAGCTCAGCAGTGGCTGCGGAGACGCAACTCCACCTGAACCTTTCAGAGTCATGATTATAGACAAGGCCAAAAGTTTAATTTGAGACAGGATCCTCTAGAATACTGTCATAATCTCAGCTTCCTAACCTGTTTTTTTTTTAAATGCTCACCTGAGGATATATTTTTATTGCTTTTAGTGGGGGAGAGAGAGAGAGAAACATTGATACGAGAGAGAAACATCCACAGATTTCCTCCTGTACACATCCCAAATAGGGATCAAACCCACAAAACCTAGGTTGTGCCCTGACCAGGAATCGAACCCACAACCTTTCAGTGCATGAGACAATGCTCCAAACAACTGAGCCACCTGCCGCAGGCCCAAGCCCATCTCTTCCTACCAGATTAGAGGAAAATATTTTAGTAGCTCTCAGACCCACCTTGGGAGCGGCCATCCGGAAGATCAGCTTCTCAATGTGGCCATTCCCAGAGCTCTGGTCTGGAATGGATCTAATCACAAGCATGAAGTCATCGCGGCAGCCACCAAAGGTCATCACTGAAGAGTAGGGGTAAGTGACGTGCACTTGCTGTGGGAAAGAGCCCGTTAGTACGAGGGAAACTTTCCACCTGCCTCCTGAGCTAGGAACCAGCGTCCCCGTCTCTTCTAAGCACAGGTCGCCTTAACCAGGAAGGGGGTCTCTGACGTGGTCATAATCTGTAGACCACCTTCCACGTCTACGAGCTGTGTCCAGACTAGAGGGCCGCAGAGCCTGGGTCGGGGTGGGGATGGGAGGACCATGGCCACTTGACTCAGGCCTTTGAGTCCAGAGAGGAGGACAAAAGACGGTTCAGGAGCAGGGGCAGGGAGCCAGCCCTCACCATAGTGCTGTGGTCCAGGATGCTGACGCCGTCCTCGTTCACGGCAATCCACACCAGGGTGTTCTCCCTGGAAGGCTGGGGAAACAGGAAAATCCATGAGACCCCTCCGCAACTAGGGATTCTGGACTACGAGAGCTTTGTGAGGAAGAAGAAGACACGTGCCGGGGCCTGCTAGGCAGTGATTTCCAACCTTTTCTTCATCTCGGAAAACATAAAAGATGGCATTTCTACAGGAGGCATCTGGCCTTGGGGCTCTGGCTACCTACTAACAATCCCGAGGTGGGAGGAGGCCACTTTCTTGGAGCACCTTTAGCCTATCCCGCCGTGGTGCACTGGTCTGGGGCTCTGTGCTACAGAACACAGCACCGCTGGCTGCTCTGTCATGGGCATGGAGGACAGGCTGTTTCCCCCTAGCTCTCGGAAACTGAGAGCATTCCACCCACAGTTTCCCCACCCCAGCTGAAGTGCATCTTGCTTCAATCAATTTCCTAGGGGCTGTAAAACAAATAGGAAAGCAAGAATGAAATCTTACAGGCCTTAGGCCCTACCCTTAAGAAAGTGATGATTTAATGGACATTTCCTGGAATGACTAATGTGCCCCTCCAGGGCTGAAGGAGGGCAATCCAGATTTCCTTTCTCCTACCTAAAAGGATGGGGAGGTAGATACGTCACCCTCTTCAGAAGCTTTCCCCAACTTTCCAGACCAACTGGGGCCCCCTGTGATATGCCCTTATAATTAGTCCTCTCCTTCTCCCCAGGGGTAGCCTTGAGAAAGAAGTCAGTAAAGGAAGGAGGAGGGTCACCCAGAAATAATCCTGGCCCCAAATCAACGAATGAATCACAACCGCTCTAGGCCATGGAAATGCAGAGTAGGCCAGAAATGGGTGGAGAGACAGTGACCTCTGGTGGTTGCTGGTTTGCAGGCCGGTGCTGCAGACTGAACTCAAAGGATCAGATAGGGCCAGCAGTTCCAGGAGAAACGGCATTCCTGAGTGTGGTCACTCCTCTGCCCACTGGAAACCACCTGCACTTACCTGAGCAGCAAAGAGCTTAGCACCAAAGAAGGGCCACTTCCGGGCCACCGTCAGGTAGATGCGGATGCACTCTGGAGAGGAGCAGCCTTGCAGCGAGGCCCACTTTGTGGTCAGCTGATCTACCAGGTGCCTGAAGGGACAGACAGTGAAGTGCCAACACGGTTCTGTGGCAGCACCGAGACCTCCCCAGCTCCGCACCCACACCTCCCACAGTGACTCCCCACAAGACCTCGCAGCCTACCTCAGCTGTTCAGGGGGTGCCCCGTATCGGTAGCGCCTTGGGTAGAACCTGTCTAGGGCCTGCTGTAGGTGATGCTGGGCCTTGAAATGGGGTGTACCACCAGGACTGGATGGGAGGGGTCTCTCCAAGTCCCCAAACTCTACCTGCGAGAGAAGCACAGGGTGGTACAAGTCAGGAGCCTGGATGTGGAGGAGCTGAGCTGGGGAGACGGGTTAGAGCGGGCTGCTGAGAGAGAAACAAACAGGTGAAATAAATCATCACCTCATAACTTTATTGGTGAGGTGGGAATGGATGTGAAAAAATACTTCTCGTGAACAGAACCTTTATCTCCAGTTTCACAGACACTAGAGAAACAACTTTAGAGTCTTAGAATATTAGAGATTATCTAGATCAACTTTCATTTTCTAGTTGAGGTGAAGTGCCTTATCCAAAAAAGCTAACTAGTGGCACACAAAGGAACACAATATAGAAATTTTGGCTTCCAACCCAAAACAATGGGATACAGGATTGAAGATGCTGCAGATCCCAGATCATGAATAACACTGGTCTGTCTGTTCAATGTCATTTCGTTACAACATGGATGAGACAGTCTTGCTTGAAGCTGCAGAACTGGGTGACAATGTTAAGTGAGGACTGACAGCGGAGCAGACTCTTCCAGATGTGGCCTTGGGAGTCCAACACCTGGCTCAAATCCCAGCTCTGCCACTTACAACCTGCTGAAGTTACTTAGATTCTCGGAGCTTCAACATCCTCATCTATTCCATGGGGATGAGACTTAAATGGGATAATACATGTAAAATATGTAGCACAGGGCCCTCTATGGAGTATTCAATAAGTTTTTATTATGTTAAAGATCAGCTATTATTACTTCCCCTTCCTTTCCAGCATGTAGATCCGTGGGAACCATACAGGTATCCCAGATACCATTGGCAAGATGGTCTCTGAAAGGTAACAGGGAGAAGAGTCAAAGTCTGAACGTGTGTTCCTTTTTCTAATTCTAGTTAAAATGTTTGGCAGCTTTAAGTACAAATTTTATCACCTACATTATGGATATGCATTATTTCAGAATCGTACTTAGTACACCAGCCCTGCAGGGCAGGTATGGAGGTATTTTTATTTTCAGTCTTCTAAACTAGAAACAGAAGCATAGACCAGTGATGAGACGTGGTCAAGATCTCACAGCAGGGGAATGACCAGGACTCAAACCCAGGCCTCTGGATTCCAGGGCCAGAGTTCTGCACGCAGCCTGTACTTGCAATGAGGATGTTTGCTGGGTGAGGAGTCAGTGTCTCTCCACAGCCAGGGACAGCAAGGCGACCCTCTCCTCTGGCACCACAGGACCTGCAGAACCTCCTGTTTTAGGCCGTGTGGTGCGTTCTACCTGTGAGTCCAAAGACGGCACCCTGACCCTCCTGATACCTGAACAGAACCTTACCTGGGCCATAAGGGCAGCCATCTCCAGAGCCAGTTCCCTGCTGACAGGAAACCTGCCTGCCACGATCTCTCCGCTGGTCTGGAAGGCCAGCAGCAGGCGTTCTCGTTCTGTCTCCC